ACGTTTTAAACATAAAGATGAACCATATATATCTTAATCTGACGTGCTTGAGTATTTCAAAATGGCGAATTTGCCATTTGCAAACTCGCCAAAATTCAAAAAAGAACCATAAAGTATATTAGCAGGACTTACTAGAAGGACAAGTTTGCAAACTCAAAATCTCAGAATATTGACTGTTGCAAGTATATACATTTATGAGATATTAAAATATGTAAAATCGCACATAACCATCTGGAATAGCATATCTCAATTTTGTAGGTATACACATTCAATTATACGATTTTTCAAAGTTTTCACCCCATTTCCACCCCCTCAGACGGCCTGGAAAGCTCTTGACATGAAGTTCATTTTATCTTCGGCCTAAAAGCTGAAACGGTCCTCTTTTTCACTAAGTCAGTCTCTAAGCGTGTCATATTGAAAAATGATAGAGTGTACAAAGGCGTTAAATTAAAAAAAAACATTTTTTTTTCTCAGTGTACTTTGTGGATAACTTCACGCCCCTCTAAATTTACTGTTGATTGCAATTCATTTTGGTATTTCAGCTCAAACTTCAATTGAAATAACTGTTTCAGAGATGGAAAGCAAAGTCAAAATTCACTGTGATATGAGTCCTTCCTTTGCTACTGTATATAAAAGAACGAAGCTGGCACAAGAAATGTTTGATCTTGGTAAAAAACTGTACGAGAAATGCGAAAGTCTTGTATTTGAGCAGCACATGCAACAACAAGGCTGGAGAGCGATAATCGCCAACTTGGATGACATTGAGCAAGACTTTTGTAAGAGAGGAAAAAGTTTCGATAAAGCTTTCGAAGCTTATATGTCGCATCGTGAATCTCACCACAGTTTTCTCATATTGTAAGTATGATGTTCAGTATCACCATTTAGTCCGCAGATGACTTCCAAGTAGTAGAAAAAAAAATCACTGTATGTTTACGTTTCGTTTCAATTTATTTGAATAAATACAGATATGAATCATTACTGTAGTAATTGTTGAGCCTTATATCCTTTAATGAAGTCAACCACAGTTGTTCACAAAACTTCAAGCATAAAAACCCGCAGACCACGGCCCGGAAACTTGTAAAATAGTCCGGTCAATTTAGTCCTGAAAATAGTCCGGTCAATTTAGTCCTGAAAACAGTAATGAAATAACAAAAATTGCGACAAAGCTAAATTTTGGTGAAGACCTTTATTTTACCATAAAAAATAAAAATTTGAAAGTCCCAATCTGT